TATAACATCCATCAATATTACATTATTTTCATCCAAAACATATACAATTGTTTCATAATTTATAACTTTAAAATATATACACATATACATAATTTATACATATTTCATACATTTTTTATTTCATAATGCTTATTAGATATAAATATGTATAAATTATAATTTTAAAATATAAATTAAAAATAAAAAAATTAAAAAATAATATAACTGGTTCAACCAGTTTTTGCCTAGTTTTGGCCGATTTTACTGATTTGTGGCTAGTTGTGTCGGTTCTTGAAATTTTTGATTTTTTGTGATGACCAGACAGAACTTGAGACCGGTTCCCGGTTGAAAAGGTTGGACTGATGATCCGGTTGGATTCTGATAACATTGGGTAAAAAACAGTCTCAATTGCCCACTGCACGAAAACTCACTGTACATGATCTGGATCCGCCAACTTTCTCCCTTCAGCATCTTTTTTGGTGCTTCAAAATTTTCTATTTGTAATCAATCAAAAGTAGTTTCAAATTATGATATCTTAATAAGTGGTCAAACTTTCAAAATGTTGTTCACAAATAAAATATGAAGCGATGGTGTAAAAGGCAGGAAACTTGAGCCCGAAAGTCTGAGAAATGAATTATTTTTTTCTCTCTTTTGGATGACTTTTCTCGTCACCAACAATATGGTTTTTTTAATACTTTTGAAAAAGCATTGTCTAACGATAATTTAAAAAAACATAAATAAAAATAAAGAAACGATCGATGTTGTTTGACCTCAATGACTTTTTGCGAATATAGAGGTAAAAACGAGATGTATGGTGATATAATTTTGGAATATTTTCTGACCACATTATAATTTATTTGAAACCCAAAATCTACAAAAACATCAAAGGAATATTTTGCTACCAAATTACTCCAACCGTTTTTGTTATTTATAAGCGACTAGCATTTACTCCTCCAAACGTTGCCCGGGAAGCCTACATTTTATGATGGTTACAATTAGTCACAATATGTTACTACTTTGTTATTTAAAAATAATTAAAAATTTTATACGGTATGGAAAATAAATTGATGTACTCAATGCAACCTTAGTATCATAGATATTTAAAAAGTGATATAAAGTTTACAGGTTCTATGACAAACATATATAAATAAGATATAAATAGAAGTCTAATATTATATATTGATGTTAATTTAAATATATGAATCTGTGGCAAAAATAAATCATATGATCAATGGATCACTATCATGATAATCCCGAACAAAATCAATAAACTTATAGCGAATTGGATTAATTAAAATATGAGATTATTATATTATATTTACGTTTGTGCTTGATAAAAATGATAAGGGAAAATAATTGGGTTGTACTAAATAAATATAAAAATCATATTTCTCGAAGAATTCTGCGCGTGATTTCTTTTATATTTACCCTCAGGGCCCTTAAATTCTTTAATCAAAATAAGCAAATTTGTCCCCGTTTTGTTGTTTGCCAGACGAGTTTAGGACAATTTCTTCGGGCTCACTTATAATTAGATCCATTGTTCATTGGTTAACGAACAAAATTATTTTATAATGAGAAAATGTCAATAAAATTTTTCTAAACTATATAAATAACAATTTGATCCCTCAAAATGCCATAATTTTTCTCAAGTCTTTAAGAACTTTTTTGTCATTAATAAATTTATATAAATTACCAAGTTATTTTTGTTGAAAATAAATGATTCACAAATTTATTTAAATATTCATAACTTTTTTTCTTATATTCGCAACAATGCAATAGCGAATCATAACTTTGCATGTTAAATTTTTTATTTACTATTGTATTGTTGCGAATATAAGAAGAAAAGTTATGAATATTTAAATAAAATTTGTGAATCATTTATCTTCAACGAGGGCAATTTGATAATTTATATAAATTCATTGATAAAATAAAAGTCCTTAAAAATTTTAGAAGAATTATGATATTTTAAGAAATCAAATCGTCATTTATATATTTTAGAGGAATTTTATTATCATTTTTCCTTTTATAATTTGGTTTGGCTCTAATTTTTTAGTATTTATTGTTTATATAAATGACAATTTTAGGGAGAACATATTTTTAGTCTCTATGTTTGTGGTTAACCTCTGTCAAGGAGGCTCTAGTAAATTTTTTCATTGAAGAATCAAATACTGAAATTGTAGGGAACATTGATTAAAATCTCTTTCATTGCCTAACATAACATAATATATCACCACCACATCAATAATATATCATGTCCACCACTTGGTTAAAAGTTTTGAAAATGAAACCGCATTAAATACTTGGTGGAGAACTTGTCATCTGAAAAGGTCCTGTAATGGTTCAATTTAGATTAATCAAATCCCGTTAAATTTATTTAGCTTAAGTCAAGGAGGCCAAAAATATCAGGTGCAATACACAAAAAAAAACTATGACATGTCATATTAATGAATCTTAACTAAAATTCACTGTACTTTTAATGACAGGCTCCATGATATGATGATGATGATGATGATGATGATAAAACTACATGAATCTTGACCCAAATTCATTAGAACTCCAAGGCTAGCTATATTTGCCCAGTATTTTAATTAATAATCATAATTGAATTAAAGCAAACATAATTTTTGAACTTGAAAAAATTTAGAAGTAAACTTGATTATAAAAATTCCTTGAAAAAATTAATCTTTCAATCTTTCAACTTTTAATTTACTTATAACTTAATTCCTTAATTATAATTTACTGTGACTTAATCCCTCAACTATGACTCGCCTATGATTCAATCCCTTAACTTTTGACTCACTTATAATTTAATCCCTCAACTTTTATCAATTCTCTTTTTCATATTAACTTAAATCTCATATTAAAAAATAAGAGGAGGATATTTTAGAATAATATATGTGTATTTCTTTTATCCCTCTTATTTGATCAGAAATTTTTAAAAAAAATTAAAAATAAGGATCAAATTATAAGTGATTTACAAGTTGAAAGATTGAGTTTCAGTAAGTCGTAATTGAAAGACTGAGTTGCAGCGAGTTATAATTAAAGGATTGAGTTATAAGTGAGTTAAAAGTTGAGAATTATAAAATTAATTTTTTTAAAATTTCTTAAATAATAGTATAAGTTTGCTAAAATTGAAGTTCAACATGCTTCATTGTATTCTCAATTATTATGTGGGGCTATTTTCTTCATCAGATAATCACAGTCCTTTTAGTATAATAATAATTCAAAAGTCATAATTCAAAGGCATCAGAACTGGTCGTCTGAAATCTCAGAAAATGCAAGAAATAGGGTATTGTGCTGCTGAGCACAACCACCAACCATAATTCAGAGTTTTCTCCGCTTGTCGAGAAAACTTAATCATTTATGTCAAATTTAATTAATCAGATCAATCTAAAGTCAGGGGATCTCTTTTTGACTTCTGGGGCCACCTTTACACTAAATTAAATTAAAAACATGAGCATGAATTTAGTTTCTCCCTTTTGACAGAAAATAATGTGCTGCACTAGAAATTAATTATAATCATGAGTCATTTTAAGCAATCAATCAACTTAAATTATCTAGCTGCACTTTTTTTTTATCAAAAATAAGAAGATATTTTATACAAGTGTATATAATCTAAATTAATTGAAGAGTCATATTTTTCATAAAATGAATATTTATTTTTTGTTCTATCATATGAGAAATCCCACATTTTTATCCTTTTTAGTCTTACTTTTCAAAATTCACATCCTACATTTTGTTTTATTTTTAAATTATAAATAAAATAGATGAAATAATTTAAAGGAAGGTTGTAAAAGTATGCTTTTGTCGTGACTTTAATCGCAAAATGAACATTGCACCGGCCAAAAACTGAATGATTATCCCACATGATTGAGATCTTGTGGGCCAAATCTGTTTATTACTTTGTAAAGTGTCTGTGAAGAAAGGGGGAAATACAACAGAAAAATCACTAGGGCATCTTTATTACCCAAAAAAAAAAAAAAAAGAATCACTATCGCATTGCATGAAACATCAAATTAACCACGCAGAAAAAAGTTACTATGTGCTAAGTAACATTGCCTTCTTTTCTGGCCTTCCAATCCTCGAGAACACAAAATTTATCAACCTAAATTACATAGTGCTGAGTAGTAATATATTCAAGGATTGATCAAGACTATCAAAATCGATTCAGCGCGCCAAGGATTAGAACGGAGAGGCATTCCAACAGACACGATCCATATTCATCAATTGAATCTTAATATTTTTTAATTTCAGTGGTTTTATGTTTTTTATCAAAAATAAATCTAGCTTTCCAAGGTCTTTTGTTCTTCCTGATTCCTGCGGCTTCCTCCATCAAAATGAGGATGGACATACAACAACAAAAACATCCTTTATTCCATTCTGTTATGGCTGCTGCATGAATTACACAACACTATTCCATTCTATTGACAATTAAATCATTGGATAGATTATTAACCAAAACATCTTGTTCAACAATTTCCCAAGATGTTTTCATTATTCTTCCTCTACCTTTTTTATAAGACTCAAAATTATATATTCTCCTTTTTTCATGAGTGCCTTTCACTACTTTTTCTATACATGTCAATATTATCTCAAATAATTTTCTTACCATATTCTCCTTAATAGATGTCATACCCTTTTTTTTTGGCATATATTTATTATAGAATTTATCTTTTCATGTATAACAAATTCATCTCAACATCTCCATCTCTATTATTTTAATTTTATATTCTTATTATTCCTTTAAAATATAACATTCATCACTATATAATATGATTAATCTTACTTCTCTTTAAACTTTATAGGTACCTTGTGATCACAAATTATTCTTGCAGTTTTTCTCCAGCTCTGGTATCCTTATAGGCAACATCCCATCAAACTTTCTTCTAACGTAATCATGATGTCACACTATAGGTCAGGGTCTTAGCTGTTTGTTTTTGACTTGTTCTTCTCGGCCTTGAGCCCCATCTTTTGCTAAAGAAAAAAAGTGCATAAATGAGAACTCAGGCATTTGCAAATTTGATCCCTCAACTAAAATTCAAGAATCGAAAATATACATGAGTATATGGTGATATTCAAATTGTTTTCTCTGTACTAATCAATCCATCACTAAATATAAAAAGGAGAAAGGTACAAACATGTTTACAAAGTTTTTTTTTTTTAAGAGCACTTAGGACTTGAGTGAAGAAAGGTACACCAATATCCATGAACTAATTTTAACAGGTGCACCCGTCTCCAACTCGTCAAAGATAACTGAAGTTGACCGTTAATCTACATCTAAGCAAACGGTTTGACCGTTTTTTGTTGTTGAGGTTGAATAAAAAATTTGCAAAACTGTCATCTTTCTCTAAATCCTTCACTCCTCTCACGATTTCTTCTTCATCGCTTCCCTTTCACCATCTGGCAGTCCCAACAAATTCTTCCAAAAAATTAGCAACACGCAGCAAGAAGAGTCTGCTGCCAAATAAAAACCAATCCACAGCCTTGAGAACAGAATAACTACCAAAGGTTAGAACCAATAATCAAAATCAGAAGCCAATAAGAGCAGAAACAGGTTGAAACCATTCAAGCGATGAATCCAAGCTTCTTAGCATGCAGGAGACGAAATCCCCAAGATTGAAAAAGAAGAATGAAACAAGATCAGATACCATGCAAAAGACACATCGCTGGTCTCCCAAATCTGATCTCTCTGTTCTCCTTGAAGTAATCTCAACTGATCAACTCACCCGCTCTGATCCCTTTCAGGACTCTCGGCTAATTGCTCTCCAGATCTGGAAAGCAGGTGGCCGATCTGCAACTTCGAACTCGAATATGGAAGCAACAACGTAACCTGAGAGGAATGGCCAAGCTCTTTCTGTACTTGGCTTTAGACGCAGCAGATCAAAGCTTCTCCTTGCTGTTGAAATTTTCTGGCGCAACTGAGTCACTAGGAGCAGATTACCGTCGCCGATTTCAAACTTCCGAAAGGAGATTCGCTGAAGAACAGAGCCAGCTGAGAAATTTCGTTGCCTCGTCTCCTGCATGCTACGGACCATGAGTGACAAGGGAATGCAGACACTACTGTTCTTTCCGACGACTCACGCCGGAGAATTCAAAATATGATCGGGTTGGATGAGCTGGAAATCACGGATCCTGTCAGGTCTTCACTGTTCTGGAAAAAATTGCGTCGTCCGAACTCTTTCTTCGAGGAGTGAAGGATTTGGAGAAAGACGTGCAAATTTTCTAGTGCACCTTAGCAAAAAGTGGTCAACCGTTTGCCTAAATGTAGATTAGTGGTCAACATCAGTTATCTTCAACAGGTTAGAGATAGATGCCCCACTTAAAGCTAGCTTATGGGTGGTGTTGCATCTTTCTATACTTAAAAGATACTGGATGCTTTGCGGAGAAAACTTTATAAATAGTTTTGCACTTTTACTAATATAAAAATTATAAAATTTTGGATATCTAACACATGCATAAATAAGGTTGAAGAAATCTGACCTTTAAAATGTGTTCGCTTAAGAGCAGCTACACCGACAGGTTTTGTCATAAGTAAATATTGTGCTAAGGACTCATTTACCGACTGGCTTCACAAATCCAGGCTGAACGGTAAGCTCTTTTGTATGAATCAACACCTTCTTGCCATCTAGATAGCTTCCTCTTCGATACACCTTTAAATTTTTTAGCAGGAGCATTAGACCCCAACTCAACTAAGCAAAGATCATCAGGTATCTTTGGACCCACTAGCTCTGCCTTTGACTTGTCATTAGACACCACCCATCCTAAAACCTTGAAGGGGAGGAGAGGGGGAGGAAGAGATCTCCCAAAATTGGGAGGGAGGTTTTGGAGGGGAGGGGGGCCCTCCTCTCCCTCCAACTAAACAGGGCCTAAGTGAATACCTTAGGACACTCACAAATTCTAATTGAATATTTCAGACGCCTGCAGATCTCAAGCAAATATTTCAAAAATAAAAATAATTTTTAACCCAAAAATAAATATATCATCCCAAAGACGAAGACAACAATTTCTTGACCCTCTAAATCAAAATTGAACAGTCAAAATTTTATTTTCCTTCAACAATTTTTGTTATTTTTAGTTTTAATTTCAATAAAGGCAAATTGTAAAAAAAAGTATGATTTTTTTAACAGAATACATACATTTTTTAATTGTTAAATTTTTAAATGAATTGAAGTTATCACTTAAAAATTGGGAACGGAAATTTAAATTTCAAGTGCCAAATTAAATGTAACTGATCCATATCTTAATAACGAACATGCTTCCTCATCCTCTAGACAAGGAGGAAATCCAAATCCGACGAAGCGGTCACATGGTTTTTTCCCGGAAACAATTGATATTCAATACTATTTTGGCCAAAAAAAAAAAAAGATATTCAATACTATTAAAACTATCAACATAATTTCTCCAGTTATAAAATTCAAATACAAAATCTTCAGAAAAATTAAGTCTTTCCCAGTCAACCCTACCATCCTTGGTAGTCAAATGTTCATTGACCAGAAACCAGACTGAATCCCAAGGCTGCCTATTTTAGCTCCTTGATTCTAGTTTTAATTAAACTCGATTCCTTTCAATCCATTCCATCCCTCTCTCTCTCTCTCTCTAACCTAAAACAAAGCCTACTCTGTTATGAGTTATGACACGATGATATACATTTCCATTTCGCTCTGCTTCAATATTTAGTCACTAAAAATCTCTATTTTGTTCAGTCCTGGAACTGAGCCATTCCCCCTTTTGCTCATTTGTTACAGCCATGCCTTCTACAGTTGTCCTTCTTTCCCTAGTGCCAGAGCCAAACATCAGCTGCAGAATACAGAAATCCAAAACCAAAAAGGAAAAAATGACAGTGCGAGTCCATATGATGATGCCAGTTAGACCAGTTTCAGGAACAACCCATGAACTATTTCAACATGATCAGATTTCAAGAACTCATCATCTTTTTGATGGAGCCCAGACACAAATGAAACTAAAATATCCTTCTATTGAATATATAGCTCAATAAAACAGTAATAGAAGTCTATTACAACTCACTTGCAAGCTATAAACAGACTAACAATGGAAATAAGCTACTGAAAGTGACAAAAAACTAAGCTCACACTCTAATAAGGCCTACAAATGGATTATACTCTCAAAGCATAAAGGATAAAGGAAAATGACAACGAAAGATGAACTTCCTCCACCCCAACCTGGTGTTCAAGGGACCAGGCACCCTCCCTCACAATACCCACTTTCTGCCTGCTCGCTGAAATGTCAGTCCCCAACTATATACAGCAAATAGTCCTTTCTGTCTCTCCCTCTCTCATAGTCCTTACGCACTCCACATGTCTTGGGCTTGGCCAATTGGATGATGACTCATTAGCTATGGGTCCATCACTTTCACAATTACAGCATCGCATACATCACTCATAAACTACACTAGGAAGTTAAAAAGCTGGAAACCCTTTATCCAGACATATGAGTAATGAGAAGGTACCTGCCTTGGTTGTCCATCACGACCACCAATTGCTGTAGTAATTACCTGCCCTGTTTCAGTTCCATTACCATTCACAATAGTTGGCTCTATATCCTGCATATAGCAAAATTATTACCAAACACAAAGCTAATTGCATTGAGCAAAGACCGTTCAGGTTCAAACAACTCAACAACAAATTAAACTGGTCTAAAACTAAAATATAAGGGCATTGTAATTAAAGTTGCTAACATTAAAATGAATACAGATTATTTAGAATAGCTTTTACATTAATGATTAATAAAGTAAAAAAGTAATAATTAAACATGAACATTGAAATTGAAAATATATGGGAAAATGAATGGCAATAAATAACTTTTCGTTGCCGTTGTTGCCTTTCTCATCTCTAATTTTCATTTGATTCAATTCTTTAGGAAGCTGATGATAACCTGACTTCTCTGTTCTATCCACCATAGATGCATTGGATGTGCCTATAGCAGCATCTCCTGGCGCACAAAGATGCTGCTCCATGTGCGTGCTGCCTCTCTCAGCGGGATTTGTTTCCTCATTGACTCTTTCTTTAGTTTCTTAATCAAACTTAGCTCTCTAGGTGTTAGAATCCCCTCCCTATGTGGAAACAGGAATTTAACATACAAGGGTAAGAAATTTACCTCAGAAAGTACCATCACTTACAAACTGGCTTCACAAATCCAGACTGAACGGTAGGCTCTTTGTATGAATCAACGCCTTCTTGCCATTTAGATAACCGCCTTTTTGATATATTAAATGCCTTTTTTCAGTAGGAGCGTTAAACCCCAACTCAACTAAGCAAAGATCATCGAATATATGGGACCTACTAGCTCAGACTCTGACTTACATTGGAAACAGTCTTTTCCTCCAAAACGTGAAAAATTAATGTATCATGAATCTTATCTCGATAGAGTTCCCATATACAAGATTTGTGTCAGAGCACTTGAATGAAGCTGGACAGTATAGCAAGAAAGGCTTTAGTTTTGATGGATCAACCCAAGTTCCATCTGCATCTTCAGCAAGGGTTACTTCGTGATTACCAAACAACTCAAAACCAGAAATAGAAACTGAAATTTCACCAGCCACCTTCATAAGTTAATTGTATTTGGCACCAATCTCTGCTACAGAAAATTTACCATCTTCCAAATCGGAACACCCATCATAAATTTCATGAAGCCCAAGTAAAATAGGGAGAGGAAGAATTGGACCCACCATATCACCATCACAATGTGCCTTATTAGGCCCTTTATTGCTGCAAGAGGATGATTTCCTTAAGAAAAATGGAGGCAATTCAGGACAGGATGTAATAGCTAAAAACTCCAAAGGTACCTTCTTTTGGTCAACATCAAGAGATTCAGAACGCTTTGAAAATGCCAATTGTAACATATCCAAAGGCAATTCCTCCGACAATCCTCTCAGAGGAACATCCTGGAGGTTTGCTGATAGCTTCACATCTTTGAAAAACACAATAATGGCAGGAGAAGATCTAAATGGGCCGACCCCACAAGCATTTAATTTCTCACACAAGAACTCATGAACATCCACGTCAAAAGGTCCCTTCTCCTAAGCATCCATACAAGGACCTTTTAGTTTTTTAACAAAGAGTTTAGTAAGGTTGCCTCTTCTATATGCATCGATATAGTTCAATTTATGAAATACAACACTTTTGCGATAATTATATTTCTCATCACCTACAGTGAACAATAAATATCTGTCGAAATGTAACCTTTGTACATGGCAATTTTCTAATTTGTTATCATGAATCCAGGAGGCTTCATATCCCTGCAATTCAAGCTTTCCAGATGACATCAGCCCTTCCAATGTAAAACCATCATATTTATATTGTTCACAAAGTAAGGAGGCCTAATCGATGATCATAATGCCAAAGCCCAAAACTATCTCCTTCTTCATTTGCCAATCAATCCAATTAGGGAGAGCAACCTTTGACAACTCTTCTTTTAAAAGACAACTCGCACGATGACAATCACGACCAGATAACGCAATTTCCTATGGAAGTTCCCACGCATAAAGGGTCTTGTTAGTCTTAGAAAGCTTTGAAGCAAGAGATCCTCTTTGAGATGGCAATGAAGTTTCATAGCAGAAGAGATTGAACTCACCACTCCAAAATGGTCCCAATATAATGCAAAATCCAACTTCGGAAGCTAACTTGAAAGTATCTTCTCTTGAATCTGATCTCAACGTAGACAAGTTTAACACATTCATGAAGCTAGGTCTGTCAAGACCATGGGTCGATCATAAAATTGGCATCATATGCTTCTGCACATCACATAGAAGTAAGAAATTAGTGGAGGCCACAGTGAAGTAGAAGCCGTCAGGACTTGCCCTGGAAAGGGCTAGAAATCTTTCACTCTGAGCCAGTGTATGCGTATGCAAAACATCAACCTTCAAAAGACAACTTACAATGCATTTATCTGCACTTAAATCAACTAAAAAAACCTGCATCAGAACATGCCAAATCAAAATTGTTGGATGCCAACTAAATTCACAACTTGACCGAACTTTGTCATCAGAACAATTTGAATCATGCCACGGTACTTTCAAACTAGTTCCCTTAAAATTGCCATTTGAACTAGAATTTTTCATTTAATACTCCAAATCAAACAAGAACAGCTCACCACTTTCAAGCAAAACAAGGCTTTCTTCATGTATGTGCGAACTCCAACAAGTATGGACAACAGAGCTAGTCTTAACAATTTTTCCGCCCATGTAGAATACACTAGGTCTCTCCAAACTTGAATTATATTGTACAGAAAATCAATGGCCAGAATTGCATGTGGAAGCCAACAAATACCCAATGGTAGAAGAAGACTCACCTAAATTATCACCATCCTCATCATCAATTGGGGTAACTAAAATCCTTGATATGTTGCAACGTGCTCCACTTGTAGCTCGAAAAACATCACCGTTACCATCCAGCTAAAGGTGTAAACTTGAACCTTCAACATGGGCAATCAAAAACCCTACTTTCTCGGAGTTCACCCCAATTGGAAAGAAGACAATAACACTATTGCCATACTTGAGTAACTCAAGCCGATTGTAATGAAGGACAGAGGTGATATTATTTTGGAATTGGGGACCACAAAGGGGAGTGATGGAGGACGCAGTGGAGGGAAGAACAGGAGCCAGGACAAGAGATTACGAGAAATCGAGAAAGAGAGAGTTGGGGGATATGAAGAAGAGTGGGCAAGAGATAAGAGGAAGAGAAAACATGGGTTAGAGATTGAGAGATGGGATTGAAGATGAGGGGACCCAAGGTGGGCCGTGGAGAATAGGGAATCAGAACAGGGGACGAAAAAGATATAGAAACTAGGAAGAAGGACTTCCAGTATTTTGAGAAGTCCATTACTTGAGAAAAGTAAAACAACGAAAAGAAATCAGAAATTAGAGAATCTGAAGAAAGCAAGGACTGAAGAGGAACAGCCACAATCAGAGGCCAGTTACCTAGTTGGTTGGCCGGAGGTGGAATATGAACACAGGGAATGCAATTTCTCTACTCTGCGAATGATAACACAGGTTCTTCTCTGTGGGTTAATCTAGGCTGTCCATCAAATCTAATTAACACTAATGTGCCACAAAATTCCAGCTAGAAACACGAAAATAAACATATGTTTAGAAGCATATTAATTGAATCTTTCAGCAAAACTGTTGACGCATTTAAGTTTGCAACTTCTGATCAGCAATAATCTGCAATCTAAAGAAAAAGAGAAGCTTTTGTTGTCACCACATGAAGCTAAACTAAACAAAAAAGTAATATTATTCTCCTAGAACAACCTATTCTCATAAAACACGCACGCAAGTATTTTGTAAAATTCTAAAAATGAAGAGATCCATGTTCCAACACAAATTGCAGGGAATAAAATCTTTGTAACAGCTTATAAGAGACTGAAATTCAAGAGCAACAAAATGGAGCTGCTATTATCGAAACAACAATCAGGCAGAGTAACGTTATTATTATCAAAGAGTGACATGCAGCAGAAACAATCAGTGAAATATGGGAGAGTGCGTGGGAGGGAGGGAGCAAACCAGAATGGAGTTGAACTCTGACAGAATCGTGAAGACCACGAGGAGTTGAACTTGGAAGATAACGCTTTAAGCCAATAAACGGGGGACTTGCACAAGAACGAGACCGACAATGAAGCTTGAGGATTCCGTCGAGGAGAGGAGGACGACACCACCAGCATCGAAGACGACGGACTTTGGCCGAGAACGACAATGACGCTTGAAACTTGAAAAGCCATTGCAATAAACGCCCACGACCGCGACGGACACGAGAGAAGCATATTCCGATGACGTCACACTAGCAGCAGCGAACGGAAGAGAATTTGGAGTTTAGGGTGGAAACATGAGAAAAACAGGAGAAGCGTCGATTTCAGGGGGAGCAACATTTTTTGTTTGAATTTGAATTGAAGGGTTACAAATAAACCTAAATTTAATTATAAATTAATTATATTTTTTAATTTTAAAGATTTTTTTTCATTAGCTTGTTATTTTTTTATTATTAATTGATTATTAGTGAGCCTTACATTATATTTTTAATATTTTTTAGTATAAATATTTAAATTTAGGGATAAAAATGACTATTTAAATAAAAATTAAGAGATAAAAATAATTTTAATTTAATAAAAAATATTAAAAAAATAGTGTGACTCATTAATAATTACCGAATGTTAGTGTTTTTAATATTAGAATGATAGTAAAGAAAATATTTAAAGTTGTGGAATAAAATTAATTCATAATTAAGTTTAAGGTTATTTGCAATTTTTTGTGTATAATTTAAAGATAAAAATAATTCTTAATTCAAAAAACATTTCCATGTTGTTTTGGGGTTGAGAGGCATTAAAAAAGGGAAGATGGCAATTAGATCTCAAATAATTAAATTAATAATAGTTAGATCCTGAATAAAAATTTTAAAAAATAAATTATAATTATAAATTCAAATAATTACATATAAAAATTCTTATTATAATTTAAAAATTATATTTGGTATTTGAATAGTTATTTACAATTGAAATTTCAGAATTTGTAATTATTTAGATAGATACTTTTAATTTATTTTTTAAAAAAATTTATTGGGAACTCCACTATCATTAATCTAATATTATATGACCTAACTATCAATTTTCCATTAAAAAAATTCGGATTGTTTTAATTTTTAAATGTGTATGTTAAAAATTTAATTGTCAAGCTTGGACCTGCATTCATAAAATATATGTATGATGATGATGATAAATTGTAAAATAAAACGGATTGTAATCCAATTTTTATTATATTAATTTAACACATTTTTATATAGTGGATACTATTTTTTTGTTAAGCTATACTACATACAATTTTTTAAAAACTAAAGCACGATGAAATTTTAACGTATGAGGAGATTACATGTTTTAAAATGAAAAATTATTATTTTTAACATACACTGATAACAAAATTTAAAATAATTTATAGTAGATTAAATTAAATTGGTTAATTAATACTTTTTTTCTAATAGAAGAAAATAAGAACGACTAACTCCGAATTTAAAAAAAAAAAAGAAAAGAAAAATAATGAACTAAATTCCTCAAGAGGAAGGAAGTGAAGGCCAAGGGGTAGTAGCCTGGGAGTTCATTTTGTCAAAAGATCAGCTTCAACATTATCCTCTCTTTAAATGAATCCAAGGTTCACAATCCATAGTATGAACTTAAGATAAGATCTCAATTGCCATGCATGTCATTATACCCATCTCTGATCAAATTCATAGCTTTTAAATAATCATTACGCAAACTCGTCTTCCTATGCCCACCATCCCAAACTCTATTGGGATTCCAAGCATGAAGGCTTCCAGTGGAGCATTTTGATCATCTTTAACAACGCCCCTAAAGCTTGTAGCTTTGTTGAACCGTGAATAGGCCCCAACCACTTGGACGTTAACCCAACCTTCATGCAGCTTATGAGGATTTCCCACCTCCTTCGACCTTCATCACACCCCGAATATTAACTTCATAAGTTGTTTTAGATTACGACGTGCCTTATTGTAACCCAATACAATAGCCTTGGCTTTGGAATACATTTGATGATAGACAGAATCAATATTTTTGAAGATTTTTTCATTTCTTTGTTTCCAAATAAGTCAATTGATAACAACAAACAATTCCTTCCAATATTCTCAATCCTGCCCCACTACCGCATTGACATTCAAATAACACCAATCTTACAAGTTGTAATTAAAAAATCTCGGTTGAAGGCTCGGTTTGATGATTGAGGTCCATAAAGATTTAATTTCCTCACAATGCCGAACGACATGAAGAGAATTTTCAACATCATGATTACACCAAATACAAGTGGTCGAAACAATCTGATGCTCACAATTTTAAACAACTGCAATTATATAGATCTAGCATTGTATAGCCAATCAAGTTTGTGTCACAAGAAACTAATTTAAAAGAATTGGCACAAACAAAGTTGCTTTCGTCTCAGTTAAAGTATCCAATCAAAAGCAAATTTTCTTATTAAATTAAAAAATATGAATAAAATAAAATTAAAGCCAAAGAATAAATTGGAGTTAAGATTAGCAATTAAGGAGTACCCTAAGAGTTCTAATCCCCATTTTTACTTTGCAATTCAATATCTTTTGATTATCGTGTTTTAATTTAACTTTAAAATCAAGGATCTAAGATTATGTATCCATCAATTATGAAGCCCATGATCTAACTAGACTATGATATCTAAAGCAAGTCCTAATCTAATTATGTATAAGCCTTAAAAAATTACCCAAGGCTCTTAAGTATATTTCTATCTCAAGTGCAAATTAGATTAAATGCAATCCTAAGTTGATTCATACACAGTCTTACTAAGATTTCCTTCTGTCAAAGGCAAAAACCAAGATCCAAACACACACTAAAGTCAGTCACCAATAGTATGAGAATAAAAATAAATCTTATTAAACATTAAAATATTCATCAAATTTGATAACTAAAAAAAATCTATCTACAAAACATTAAAGATTTAAATAATTCCTAAGGATAAAAGAAAACTAGACACTCATGCTCTAAACATGCATAAAACTTTAGAAACAATACAAGAAATTAAAGACATAGAGAAGAAGAAGAAGAGAATCTAAAAAAAATACCCTAATGACACTCCATAAGGACCATCAAATCTCCAATCTAGCCTCCAAGCCCTTGGTTGATGCACAAGAATTGTCTTCTCAGCTTTGGATATAAACTTGGATGATCTTAGAAGTCTGCTAGAGCTTTATTTATAATTTCGCACCCCTTTAGCCTCTAATTTTTGTCTTATCTTATTTTATTTAGTAAGATATTGTTTAATTCTGCAATTGGACTTTAAATCAATTCTTCTACGAGATTGCTCTCATGTTAGCGCATGGTCAAACTCTTCTTCTCTATGTCCACGAGCAATTGAATGGTGAAGGAACCATGTTCGTGAGCTCCTCCACACACGATCAAATGTCGATGCTCCATGTGTTCATCTGTGTCTAGTTGTGCTTTCTTCATCCATTGTTTGTGAGTGGATGTACTTCTAGCAGATGGTCTTCTTTGTGTTGAGTTTCATCCAAGGGCATAGAACTTTTCTTTCCTACTTGTTTGCAAGTAGACAATTACTTTTGGGTTTGTTTTTCAGGCTTTGAGTTGGTTCTTCACATTTTTAGCCTTCTAAATGTTATTTACGCTCCTTTTTCCTAAAAATGCCTAAAAATTACTAAGTAAAATATTTTATCCAAATTTCTATTAACTTACACATTAATTAGCAAATGAAAGAGCAGAAAAATATATATTAATTTTTGAAAAATACTAACTTATCACGATCATACCTCTATTCATTCCAACTTCATTCATTAAAAGCTTATTATAAAGAGTTAACCAATAGAAGGATTTACACCTTTAAGCAATTTTCAACTTCCAAACCCTATTTCAAATTGGGTAAGAAAAGTCATTATCACTGATGAGCAAATTATAAGCAAATTTAAGTGAGAAATTATTATGATTTTCTAGCTTCCATCGAACAACTTCATCACCATTATTCCTAGCTATCTTTTCGCTCTTTACATGACCTTTTCCCCGCTATCTCGAATGCCCATCCATAGACATGAACCTAAACAAGATCTATCGATACTAGGAATTTAGTCATCCCCACAGTGATACTTGCTTCAAACAATGTGCTCCCATGAAGTATCTTTATTGTTTGTAGATCCCCATCCAACCTTCATCATAAAAGCTTTGTTTTGAAGACGTGCATGTCTAATGGCCAAAATACCTCTCTAGAGGAATAATGGTACAAGGTGAATTTTCTTTACACACCCCATTCCAAGCCATAAGGTGAATTTTCTTTTTCTCATTTGTAGATCCCCAGAGGAATCCTCTATTAATTTTCTCGAGTTTATCATAGGTAGTTAAAGGAGGGGCACAAGATTACATAAGGTAAAGAGGAAGTGCCTGAACAACAAAAGTGACTAAAGTGTGTCTACAAGTAAGAGAAAGAACATTAGCCTTCAAGTTGTTCAACTTAGCTTTGATCTTATCTACCACATATTGGTGTCACTACTATAAAATAAGTTTACATAAGCACTTTTTTTGACATTAGGGAGCACTTTTGAAGCACTGCTGTATCGAGCACTCTGAAATTTACAGAAGTGCTTAAAAAAAGTGCTCTTATATATATGCTAGACAGAAGCGCTTTACAAAAAGCGCTCCCGTAAAGGAGAACTTGTATACAGGCAAAAATCACACACTGAAGCGCTCTTTAGAAGAGCGCTCCTGTATGCCGTCGCACTCCTGTATGATCTATATAGGAGCGCTCCTACATATACTTTATGAGGAGCGTTCTCTGTATATCAAAAATTAATTTAAAAATAATATAACATAAAAATTTATATACAAGAAAAGAATTTGAAACTGATACAACAATTTCAATTTCCTAACTAACCTAGTTTAATTTTTAACAAGCCTAACAAATAAAACTATTGTTATTTTTCTAACATTGAAATCTAACTTCCTATCACAAATAGCCAATAATATATTCTGACCACTCTTCAGCTAAATTTTCTATTTGTTCCATAGTAAAATACGAATATCTTACTCTAACAAAATACTACACAAGATATAAAAGCAATATATAAGTAATTAACATTATATTAACTTAATTTCAAAGCTTTTGACTTACATTTTCAGAAATGATCAACTCTTGTTGTGTGATTACTTCTCTCATAAACTTCATAACATAGTATCCACACTCCCAACCTTATAATTGTATAGGTACCTATAAAATAATAAAAGATGTCATTATTAAAATATGGTAGAAATAAATTCTAACTTAATTTAACATATTTCAACGATGAA